CGGAGGCCCCGGAAATTGTCCCAGTGATATATGGAGCCTTCATTGAAATACCCGGAGCTGAGTGTGAGAACCTTTTGCAAAAGAAAACAGCGTGATTTGCGTGGGTGATATGTTCTGTTCCAAGGTTCCAGCCATATAGAAGAAAGGACTCTTGATGCGCAAATTTAACCCTTTATGAAATTAAAGTTAATTCAAAGCTCTGTTTTTTAAAACCCAAATAAGCCACAGAGCACAGTTAATCCCCTGCTAAGTCTTTAAGAAAAATGCTTGATGTGAGCAATCGAGTGATATACCGGCGTATTTTGTGTACGGTATGTGTGACAGTGGTAAAACAAAGGGATCTATTGTGCATCCAATCCATCCTTCAATGTCTCTGGATCTATGCTCCATCAAAATGCAGTAAAACCTCGTTAAGACGCCCCTCAATAAGCCACCACCCTCAGCAAACATCAAGTTATTTAGAAAAACAAATATTCCCAGATGATAATAGCATTGGAAACCCATTTGGAATACCATCCACCAAAATTATTGACAGCTCAAATATGCTCCAGTCAATTTATTTTGTCTGTGATAGCCTGCCAACAAGATTCAAGTTTCTGTGAAAGGTTCCCAATAAAGCAACACAAACACAAAGATGTCATAATTCTTGGGAACATTAGCTAAACATAATTTACGCATCCCACAGTTACTTTGAATGTTCTCCATAGAAGAATAAGAATTTTACATCCTATTATACCTGATTTTCATATTACAGTATTTCAATTTTTGGTGAACCATCACCAACCCCCTTTAAACTGCCATGAAAAAATTGTGGTGACTTATTCAGATGTGACTGTGTACTTGGAGCCTATGTACAGTACTGTATATTAAAAAAACACACCCTGGAAGTCCTATGCATGCTGTAAAATGTTCCCAGTAAGAAGAGGAATAAGAAGAAGAAAAACCAGAGCACTGTGAGGAATCCAGCAATAAGCAGCAATCAGAGAGGTATTTGAAAGAGGTTCAATTCAGCTTTTTTGATAAACTGCCAACCCTATTAGACTGCCACAAATCTAAGAAACAATTGGGTGTTCCTTGTATCCAGGTATGACTGTACACAGATGGACTCTCTCCTTGCCAATTTCTTCAACAATGATTTTATGCTAAAAAAAATTTGCTTTTTGATCCCATAAAGTTCTCTCCCAATGTTTAAATGGTCTTCTACAAAAAATTCTTCCTACAATGAATATTTTTCTGCTTCCTTGAATTTTGCTGTAAATGTAGAGATAGCCCATCTGTATTTGGTTCTGCTATGTACAAGTGTAAAAAACACACCCTGGAGGTTCTATGCATGCAGTAAAATGCCCATCAAGAGAGAAGAGGAAGACAAAGAAAATTCAAATAGATTTGATAGTGTTTCAGCTGTTTTTATAAAACCACAACCCCCTACTGCCAACCCTGCTGTTAAACTACCACAAACAATTGGTAGTTACTTGTATCCAGGTTTGACTGTATACAGGTGGACTCTCTCTACAATGATTATCTACAACAATTTTTTTTTTATAATGAATTTCTTTTCGGTTCCATGACGTTCTCTCTCCATATTATGCGGGTCCTCTACAACGGAATTATCCCTACAATTAATATTTTATGGTCTCTTGAATTGTTGATTTCGTTTCTCTGCATAAAAAACGCACCCTATAGAGGTCCTATGCATGCAGTAAAGTGTCCCTAGAGACAAGAGGACGAGGAAAGAAGAAGGAAAACCCAGATGAGGATTGTCCGGAATCCAGCAATATATAAGCAGCCGCGTTACTGTGTGGGACCCAAGCAGCATGCAGCGGAGCAGGAACACGGCAAGCACATAATGGACCGGTGGGCGGATAGGAGGTCAACAACCGGTCGCTTCATCTGTTCGTAACCGGACCCATCGGCTATGCACAACTTCTCTTTCCCCTCAGCCCTTTGCTTCTAATCTTTTTCTTCTTCTTCTTCGTCCCACCAGACATGAGCTGTATACAGTCCCTGAAACAAAGAGTAAGAAAGGGCGGAATTCTTCGTTCATTCATTTTACTGTATATTCTTTCTGACGACTCTGAAGGTTCCGGAGGTTTAAACGCGCAACGGGGGAAGCATTCCCCAACAGCTCTTTCTTGAAAAATAACAGACGCGCCACCCTGCGGGGAATCTGAACATTTACCCCTTTGTATACACGCTGCACTGCATTAGTTAGTGCTTTTCAAGCAATTTTATGCAGCGTTTGCGGTACATTGCCATGAGATACGTGATGCATAAGTTATTGCAAAGATCGAGGGATTTTCTTTCAAAAAATTCGCATCAAATTTAAGGAACAAAGCGATCAAAATTTGAGGGGGAAAGAGATGTGTGACTGCTGCTGCTGCGCTGGAATTTCTACGAGAATTCGATGTCGTTCCTGAAGCATTGAATCGGCGTAATAAAAACCCTGCAATGCGAATCATAATACTGTTTAGAAACTTGCTATACACCAGGACGATGGAAAGTATTAGCGTCGTATTTCTTGAAATGAAAAGTGGTAAAATAAAGAAAAACTACCATTAATCGCGTGCTTTGTAATACAGTACTGTAACATAATTTCGCAGAATCTTCACGCTTGAAAACGGGAAATTTGTTTAATATTTGAATAAATCCTGCACTCACAAGGCAATAATATATTGTGAGTCCGCAAATAAAAATGAAACTACAGTATTCCATCCCCGATTGAGTCTTGTTCCAACAAAATTTTCAAACGTGCAAAAACAATATTAGTCCTTTAGAATAGATAACATTGACTTCTATGCCTTCCTTTCTGGTGGAGATAATGCGACATTAACAATTGGATTTTTCTGCTGAGAAGAAAAAGGTCAAAATAGGTGAATTGTTCTGATTTCTTCTTTGAATATACTGCACTAGTTTTGGCGAAAATTTTTGAATTTTATGCCACACCTATATACTGTTAGCCAGAGATCCAGCAAATCTTAAAAAAAAAAAAATTTTCTCCAAAATATATCGTTTTTGGTACTTATACATGAATCTTTCTAGATACCGGGCATAATTTTCAGAATGTTATGATCATAATTGTGTACAGGTGGACTCTCTCTATACAACAAAGTTAAAGGGACTGTAGAAAAAATAACTGTAGAGAGAATTTCGTCGTTGAGAACCTTTAATGGCATGGATGGGACCAAGAATAATCGTTGTACTGTACAGAGAATATCCCAGTGTAGGCGAGATCATTTTAGGGAGTCCACCTGATGGTTTAGTTTCCATTTTTGTGATTAAGCGAATTTTATAATTTGTCTATGTTTCTATGCGCAGATCAAGTTTTCGCAACAGGCGAGTCTTTCTTTGAATGTGGAAATTTCGTTGTGCGGATTTTCGTTATCCCAGTTAATATTAGCGAAAACCCATTGCATATATTTCCTTGAAGGCCGTTGATATTTTAGGACCACCCGGTAAAATTCATTCTGCTGGTGAGCACAATGCGCTGGAAAATGGATAAATGCGAGATTCGCCTCCCTCATTTCCGTATATTGTATATGCTGTACTCCTGTATACACGCATATCCAGGTATATACTGTACTTACCCCAGCATCTCCTCTTTTTCATACATACCTTCTCGGATGTGAGCAATTGTTCTCCCCGAGGACGTCAGGCTCGTAAAGGTCATCGCACAAGGAGCCACTCCGTTGATGCCCACAACGAGTGCTGGTCGAGAAGATGAATGACCTGAAAGACGCATGAGAACCGAGCAACCGCTGAAAATCACTCTCTGTTTCCGTCGTCGCGACTCCCGTCCGGCCATCATCATCAGTCATTACGTGTATTTCAGACACGAATCCACGAAAGGCAACGATTTCAAGTCTAGAAAAGATACCACGAGTGATGGAAGATTTTTTTGTGGAGAAATCCTTCGATTCAAGGAGAAATCCCTCTTTCATCGACCTGCATTCTGGGATCCCAAAGATGCAGAGTTCGAAGCGGGTGAACTATAGGAATCGGTGACAACATCGTTTTATTCTGGCTAGGGCGAGAAGCGAGGGATTTTCTGATCTACATCATTGAACTATACTGCTTGTATATGAACTATAGTGCTATACTGCAGTTCATTATGGATATACAGTGTATAGTTCAGAAAATACATCAGAAACGCATCTTGAAACACATACAGCGACAATAAACAAACACAACACATGGGTTCACGTCAACAATCTGATCATAACAGCAAGTGCACAAATAAAAAAGCAAATGCTGATCACGTGGGGTTATAATTGTGCATTCAGCACTTATTGGAAATACATGCCTTATTGTTCTGTTCAATTGCTGTTTCGACATATATATGCTGCATCGGTTCATAAATTTGCTGATTCGATGGTGTTGTTTCTTGGACGACACTCTTATTATTTTGCGGCGTACCCAGTACAAAGCATTCATTCGATTATGCAATGTACTGTATACGCAGTATAGTACTTGAAAAATATGATTACTGTAGTTCGGATTTTGCGATCCCACTTGAAACTTCCCAATGACCCTCATCCATGAACTTATGGAACAAATCGTTCTCTCAAATTACAACAGAATATGTTTATAAATAATTTCATATCTCCGCACCCTTCCACCAATGCCGAATCAAGGTGTGTTGTGCTAATAGCAGATTATAGGCCGGCCCACCAGCCAAATAAGCCATACGAAAAATTGAAACGACATCCCTGAGCTGCTGCCTTTCAAATTGGGTAATTTGGTGAATTACATTTTGATGATTTTAGGTCTATTCAAAAGTCGTTCCAAATCCAAACCTTCTGACAGATCGCTCAAAGAACCACTGTGGGATCAATCCTTATCATACTGTATACTTAAAAAGAAGGCCTTCTCTCAAAATGATGAGGATCCCCTCAGCTACGTTCCATTTTCAAAATATTGTAGTGCTGTACCCGATCAATGCAGAAATCCTCCACATTGCGTTTTTTCAAGCAGCATCTGTCAAATGTTCACATGATGATCAATTAAATGAGTTCCAATTCCCCAACGGCTGCAGATCCTTCCTTAGAGAACTGCTACCAGTAACATGAGCATTAATATAAAAACTTCAGAGTAAAACAATATTTTTGAATGATGCAAATTTTTCATCATTGCAAAAACATGAATCCCATAAAAAAGCTACAGTTGAAACTCTCTATAAGTTGAATTTCTAGGGACCAGGAAAAATTTGACTTAGGGACATTTGGAGTTGAGGAAACAAATATTTTTGCTACAAGGAAAAATAAAAATCAAGGGAAATTGTAAATGAGGATATTCTGGGCCTAAAATTGCATCTTGATGCAATTAAAAAAAATTACACCTTGCTGAACTTGGAGGCAGGGGTTCATTTGTTCAATCAGTCTTTCACTTCACTTCAAGATCCATAAAAACTTTTTTAAATCCTCTTCCATATTTCAAGCAAATAACCAAAAGGCCTCAAAAAATTTGACTTACAGAGGAATAGAGGATTGAGAGAAAAAAACGTTGAGTTAGGAAGTTTTTTAGAGCATTGTTTCTAAGGAAATCCAGACAGGGACTTGAAAAAATTTGAGTTTGACTTAACAAGATTTAACTGTACTGTATATGCACTGTATGAATCTTGGGAAAACATGTAATGTTCTTCAGTGCAAGTTAATTCTTGGTTCTGGCTCGATTCATTTTTGGGGTCCAAAGAAATAATTGTAAATTCTCAAGTCCAAACTTCACCTCAAAAACCTTTATTGCAAACATAATTTCATAATTGCAATGCAACAACAAAACACGGAATCACTTGAAAATCGAACAAGCCAATCCCAGAAAAGCAGCAGTCCGGAAGTCCATGGATCATCACAAGCGTTAACCGATGCAAGTCGAAGATAGACGAACAATCGTAACAGTACAGGAACACAAAAAATCGCATTCAAAATTGAGAACTCATGTAATTTTTTAGGGTTACAAGTCTATTTAAAGCGATACCGGCTTTCACTTTTACAGTGTTCAACGGTGAGTCCGATTCAGCAACGACCGAAGGCACGTTCTGAACGGATAAGTTTCCTTTGGCTTGCCTGGAACGAAACCAATTGAAATAAATATCCAAGTAACTTTCGTTAAAATACAAAATATCAATCGGATACTCACATGAATCGAGTGAGGTCTTCGAGGTCCACCAACATGGAATCCTGAGTCATACAAAGTTCATCTCTTTGCATCAAGCTTGTGACTAGCTCTTCATTCAATCCTATAAAAACACGTCGACACTTGCACGTAAGATAATTTAAAAATCCTGGGTAGACCAACGAAAACATAACCGTGATGATGAAAAAAATTCATATTCTTCAAGACTACCTAATTTTCTAGACGTCAAAATGGAACATCACATGATTCAGGAAACTCATCCAAGAAACAACGGCTTGCGGATAAAAATACTGCAAGCTATCGTAAAAAAAAAAGGATTTTTCGCAGGATACGACTTTGATTCCAGTACTGAAGATTACTCAAAAACAGAAGCTAACGTTTTGGAATTCAGCGAGAAGAATAAAAATGCTTAGCTGAAAAATAATTCAAAATTTTCTTTTGAATTTGATGCATTGATAGGACCAACGTGTTCCTATCAATGCAGATTGATTCGTAAAAGCAGAAATTAAGAGAAAGGTAATTTTCTTCCAAATTTCTACCTCCAACGGTCGAGAATACAATCACCACCACAAAATTACTCTTGTTCCAATTAATTCAGATTCAATAATTCGGTTCTCACTTTTGATTTCCATCGCTAAACTCGTGTGAATTGAATCCAGCTCAGCAACGGTGAGTCTCCGTAGAAGACTACGCGAAAGCCGTCGATGACCATAACATGATGGCGGAAGCAAGATCTATGAATTTTATGAGAATAAATGTAAATACGGAAATACTATGCTTTTTTAAAATTGTTACTGCACATACTCACCAATTCAGATAATGGCGCGCTCTTTTTGCGAAAACGATCGGCTTCAATTCGCATCTTTGCTAGATGACAGGCTCTCGCAAGAGCAACGCGTGCCTCAGCTTGTAATCTGGCCTGTTTTCTCCAAAAGTCGCTTTCTCTCGATCCGCTGAAAATACAGGTAGCGCAAAATTATTATTGAAATTTTTTTTATAGAATGTTACATATCGTAGTTGTGACAACTAGGATATGTAAAATTTTTAAATCGGAATAGGTAGAACAGTAAAAAACAGAACTTCCAAAAATTAGGTCTCAGAAAGAAAAATACTTTCTTGAAATCGCTTGGAGATGAATTCTGTAATTTGATATTTAATGCAATTTGTAGATTTCATGAGAATCTGATTGCTTTGGGGCACCAGAAGTATGAAGCCAATAGATAAGGAGGTCAAACGCTCACTCTTTCGACATAACAGCAGGAAGTGATTGTGGCCCGTCTTCTTCATCCGAGTCCGTCGCCAATTCATTCATGAAGCAAATCTGCAAACTGTGATTAGCAGGAGACGCGGTGGATGCTTGAACAGAATCCTCATCACGCCACGACGTCATTCTCTGCGATAATCATAGAAATTGTAAGCATAAAAAAAACATGCAATACAGAAAACCAAAAACGCACTAACGGTATTATGATTCAAATCGTCGTCGTCAGGGAGAATTTCCAAGATTTTCAGAAAACTTCCGCTCTTTTTCCGACTCTTGTTCGCAACGTGGAGGTCCAATTGTCCGAGTATTGTGTCCACTTCCCGGTCAGTCAAGTCCGGCCATTTTAATCGACGCAAAAACGCGTTATCGTCTTCTTCGTCACTACTGTAAATAAACCTGGGACGTCTCCTTTGCAGATGCAAATTTCCGTTTGCATCGTCGTCGTCTTCGTCAGTGTCGAACAAGGCTTCAGGGATGTCAGTTGACTCTTCTTCACGATCATAACCTCTGCGTACGTGATCAATTATCGTCGCCATGCGATCTGAGTAAATTTTTAGGTTTGACGCCATCGTCGACGACGTGATATTCGTTCCGAAATTAGAAGCACGAAACGCGTCACCGACACGAGCTGATCCGTCACGAACCACATTTATCACATTGGTGGACGAAGGTAACTTGCTCGTCAGATTTTCTGAGATCTTCACAGTATGGTCTTTCACGTTCGAAACAAAGCTCCGGAAACGCTCCGAATTCATCGCCGAATAAAATCTGAAAATATAAATGAAATTCAAAACGATGCAATATTACTGAATGTTTTTGTAAATCCTGAAAAATTCTCCCCTATGCGACAGAGTTTCAATGCACTCCAAGAAACACCAAGGAGCAGCAGTTGATTGTCCATTGGGACATATTTAGGCTTCCCAGTTCTGAAATACTGTAGGAGTGAAATTCATATGTCTCGAAGGATGCATGCAAGCATGCAGCAAAAGGACAACATAAACCGTCTTCAAAAGTGGATCTTAGAAAAAAAAGGCCATCAAAATGAGCAACTAGAAATAAAAATCAGCTGCCAGCACATCTTGCTATGCCGTGGAACTTCTTTTAATTCTTCTCGGAAATTTAGAAAAACAAAAGTCTCCAACTTGCCACTGCATTTAGTTGAAGAAATCACGGCTATGAGAAAAGGTATGTTCAATTATTATAACTGGAATGGAGCGAAACCGAAACGAAGTCAGTGTCTTAAATCGAACGATGGAAAAAAATACGGCACTCAGTCAAAAGGTAATCGTTCGCAAACGGAAAATAAAAAACTCGAACAAATACCTGTACAAGGTAATTGAATGCAGACGTAACAAAAACGCAGAACTTCCGGCAACATAAGTTAAAATGATTCGACACTCATCCCAGAAAGGAACTTTTCAAATATTTCTGTCAAATTGTTCAGCATCAGTCGATACCGAACATCGCTTTCGAACAGCGTAACGTCGAATTTTCGGGATTATCATGGAAATAGGCGGCACATAAAAAAGTGGATGACGTGTTTATCGAACGACACACTCCATAACGAATATTTCAACTGTGGATATCAGTTCACCAACTTGAATCCACAGCATATTCTCGTGTCAAATTTTTGCATTGAACGAAGATCAAAAATCCTGGCGAGATAGCGCAAAAGTAAAAAAAAAAGGAGAGTCCCATTCCCACACTCCCACAAAATACGATGTCAACATCATGCAAAAACTGATCTCTTAAATTCCATCAAAACCTCGCCATACGCAGTCGAGGCATTCCGATCACCTGCTACGAAAATACGGTAACAACTAACCGCAAACGGCGAGACACCTGGCAAAGAATGCAGTGGTATAGCGTTGACGTAGCTATCGCGCGAAATCAATTCGTAAGAAAAGCGGCACACGCTTTTCACCAGCTCCACTCGACGGTTGTTGAATTCATCCGCAATCTTTATCCACGGCGTGCGAAAAACGTGGGAAGGCGACGGATACAAGTTGAAGAACTTTTGAATATCACCCATGACGACACCGTCCAATACTTGACCATGTTCCTCCACGAACAGTGCGGCTATCAAGAATTTCCAAGGATCCTTCGAGTAACGTTTGAATTTCTTGAGATGTTCTCCAACACTGGGCTTCACCTTCGTCTTACGCGGCGTCGAGGTCTCATCGCTGGGCGTCAACTCCTCCACCTTTCGTTTTCTTCCAGAAGATCCTGTTTCTCCGAGGCTTGATATCAGGTTTTTTGGTATTTCGAATTGACCGACTGTTACGCCGCAAGTCGGATTTTCTTGGATAAAGCGTTCAACTTCAACGCGAGAACGAAGGCGCTTTCCGCTCGGTGCTACGAATGTGTAATCCGGTCGACCAGCTGTAGCACCACCTGATCGAAATTTGATAAGAATTTTCCATCCCGGCGGCACTCCTTCGGTGGTTTCATGATACTTGGTAATACCTTCACTCATTTTCGAACAACGCAACCGGAAATTCGTCCTAAATCAAAGAACATTTCTTTCAAGCTTAAGTCAGGAATGTCGAACGATACAACTGAAACGTTAAGGAACAAAGCCATCCCGAGGATCGGAATTATTCGAAGGTCTGAGCAATCCGTCTCAAATTTAACTCTGATAACTAATTCAACCAACATTGAATCAACTTCTGTTTTCTCTGCAAGATGACTAAGATGATCGGAATAATGACTTGGTTGATGAAAATTTTTTGAACGGTTAGATGGGTTGCACAACCAACGCTAACTAAAGAAATAAAACTATACAAGAATCCGGAATAACCACTCGGCCACTTTCTTTTTGTTGTTTCCATAGAGCAATTTAGCAAACTTCGACTTCAACGGCATACCAACAATGTATGAAAATCCGACATTCTTATGAAAGAACAGTCTGAGAAAAACAGAATAACGAATTCGGTCATCACTCACGAATTTTACACGCGTAATTAAGTCGCACGGACAACTTCAAGACCCAGGAAGACATTCATTAAACTCTTTATTACTGCTGGTCTTGGTCGTTTGCTGGCAGAAGAAATGTTTTCAACGTTATCCGTGACCACTTCGGGTTTCGCTTTTCCATTTCTTTTCCGCTGACAATCCTCCGAAACCATGGCTACACTTTCTAGACTTTCTTTCTTTACAATGACTGAATGTGCGCTTGGCACAGGTACGCTTTCAATTTCTCCGCCTTGGTCAATTTCAAGACTGCCCATTTTCTCTTCAACGGTTTTCTCTCCTTTGCCTTTTCTTTTTCTGCGAATCTTCTTTTTTCCTGACGAGATACTTGCGAGCGTACTCTCAAGGTTGGCGATGAAGACTGAAACTCGCGTTTTCGCCAGGGATACGAGCGCATTTTCTTCGTCGACACAGAAATCGCTCGGGTTGTTACTGGATAATTTCAACAAATCTCCTTCACACTTAAGGCAAAATAGCATAACGTTGATCTCTTCAGCAATGGGCACCCTGAAAACTTGATCGAACTTCGTCACCATCATCCTTCCGATTTTCAGTCTCGTTTCTGCGTCACGTGATGCCAAATTCATCATGAAAATACCTAAGAGATCAAAAGAAAAACTTACGATGAAAAAGAAAGAATAAGTTAAAAATGATCGAACCTTCGGGGCGGAGACATTTTCTTACGTTCTCCAAAACGGAGTTACCAACAAATGCAGATGGTGGACATCTGAGACTTGATTTGGGATCATCACTGTTCACATCGAAAATAATCGCGTCGTACTCTCGACCTAGACATAGATTCTATTAATGATGACACAAGTTCAGACACACATGAGATCAAAATACCTGATGCTGCGGAGTTACGCAGAAATGCAATGCCATCTTCAATGATTACTTTCATGTTAGCAGTTTCCGTAAATCCAAACCACTGCTTCGCTACATTGCGCATTTCTGGATCAAAGTCTACAACGTCAATTTTCATCTGTCCAAAAAATCTACGGTAAATAAAATCGGAGGACAAGAATAACAATGCCGTATACACACCGAAGTGAAATTTCTGCTAAGAAACATTGGCAAACAGCCACCACCCAGGCCTATGATAAGTACGGAGAGATTTTCACATGATCGCGAAAAATTCCCGGCATTGAGCAGACCGAATCCGCCGACGGCAGCAGTGTGATGAGCACAGCACAGATTCGAGAAATCAAAATTCTCCGACTTCGAACCCGATTCTAGAGTAGATGGAATCAACTTTGGGTTAATTATCGCATTTCAATGCATACAATACTTTTAGGCAAATTTCATTTGCAAATTTTTCAGACTGGAGAAAATTGCATATGCGCATCTAAGGACGCACTGTCACATGTTCGACGATATATCATAATCTATTCTGTTCAGGGTGGTCCGAAAGAGTTCGAATGAAAAATATCTCAACGAACGCTATTTCAGTGGATTAATCTTGTCACTAATAAGACTACAATGTAAAAAAGGATACGTATTCTGAGAAAAAAAATATTTTGCTGCCAGAACTGGCAGTTTTCTGAACAGTAATTTGTTGAGATAAGTGTTCTTAAACCTGTAACCGACTGACCAGCACTGGTCTACAGAACGTTTTGCTGGTCAGCAAGATGCAAGACTTAATTTCTACATTTTTTTTCTAATTTTGCTGGAGTTTATGACCATCCTGGAATAGGAAACAGATCTGAATTCCCATTTGACTTGTTTCTCACAAGTACAAGTGGGCCTTATTCACGCTAATCGGCGAATATTTTTTTTTCAATGCTTGGATCATGAATTTTACCGAAAGGCAATATAATCTTCAACGTTTATAACCTCAAGTTTAAAAAATTTGCACAAGGTAGAAAACTGAAGATCTGAACAAAAATTTAAAAAGTTAAATACTCACGATCGCGACTCAGAAGTACTTCTGATTGAATCAAATTACAATTTGACCGGAAGATCAACCGTCTGAAAGAGTAGTTCGCGTTTTCTGCATCAGCTGGACTGTCTTGAACAAAGAATTCTCCAGACTTTTCACTCGAACCCTCCATTCGAAGTATTGCATTCACAACATCTCCATCCGTCAAGAAAGAAGGCTTAACCATAAATAATCATACGATCACTTGAGGCTTTCGAAAAATGTATTCAAAAAATTCTGACCTGCTCTCTGGATTTTCGTTTTCCGCACAAGCGCATCACTTGGCCAGATAATTCCGTTTTTATTGTGTCGTAACTGTCGTAGAATTGATTTCGCTGAAGGTGAACAATCAAAAGACGATCAAATTTTGCGGCTTCAACAAGGTCTGCTCTACCTTCTTTCGTACTGTAGAGGGGGGAGTTTTCCCTTGAATAAAAAGGTGAATGTGACAAGAGTTTTTTCTTCGACAAAGCTTGAAACTTACTGTCCCTGAGGAACAATGTAAATTCCATACGATCCATTTGAGATATGATTTGGACGGCGATCTCGTAAAATTAGTTCAAAGCGACGATCACCATATTTGTCAACGATTTCGAATGATAATTCTTCATCTGGATTCAAGCGCCTCCGAACAGCATTATGTCTCGCATAGGCAGTCATCTGGAGCTTCGAGATTTCGCGCTGAACCTCCACAAGGCCATCTTGCATTTTCAACGAGCGGCCTGCTTCTAAAACCAATTCAATTGGCTGTTGAATTTAAAAATATCATCAGTATCTATAAGAACAATTGAAGAAAATAAAATGAAAACTGCAGCTCCCAACTCACCGGCGGCACGAAACCCGGGGATTGCTTGAACTTTGTCGCAACCACCGCAAACACTGGCATCGCCAACGCTTCGGGATTGTCATACAACTGACGATCTTCGGACAACTTGCTGCGATGGAAACGTAACATCCATCCTTCGGTGACGTAGAAAAATTCGCAGACGAGCCTTAAAATATGATCTTGAAGAAGTGATATGATGATGCACCTGCCTCCAAGCTTCAAAACTCTCGCATACTCCTGAGCAATGGTCAAGTTAACACGATGAATAGTGTCGCGTTACATTGATCAACAATAATACACACCTGACACAGCCTTTTCGCGCTTTGCAGAGATACTTCTGATGCATCGTTCGCAATCGCATCCAAAGTGCCTTTGTCCACAATAACTGAAAAGCTTCCGGCATCGTACCCAGTTTCCATGGCATTCCTTTTTTCATAGGTCATCCCACTGCGCTTGTTCCGTGACGACATTTGCCGAATAACGACATCGCTAGTATCAATATTTACTATCCTCCTGAAATAGAAAAATACCACATGAAAGATACAGAGGCTTTCAAATCTAAAACGTAAAGGCCCATACCAGGGATATATTCTTACCCGAAATCAAGACTATCGTAAATTCCTTCTGAGAGTGTTGACGATCCGCACCCTGGAACAAGAATCTGATCATTTTTTCGAATGTATTTCTCAAGGACTTCTTTCAAATCTTCGAACTCTCCGTACCTAAAGAAAAGGGTAAACAATTAGTGACGTCTCAGCAGATCAATCTCTCGATCCGCAAGACGAAAACGACCACCGGTGTAGTCTTACCATTCGAACACGCGATCACCCCGGCCTTTGAAAAATGAGTCCCAGTAGGAAGTTTCTCCGAAATCCGGTATGACTGAAGATTTCTGAACCAGCGATGACATTCTGAACACGGTGGGTATGCTACGAACAGTACTTCAGAATCGACCTGGAGAAGAAGTGGGACCTCAACCATTAGAAGTTCCAAGACATTTTTGCTCTCTCGAGTTGAGATTGGGGGCGCAGCAGAGGAGCCCCGACTGCAAAATCACGTTGAACCCAAAATGAACACTCGCGTTCCCTGAAACAGTAAAAGACACACAAACCCGATTCTAGAAATCTAGAGAATCTCAGCCCAAACATTGGATCAAGCTCCTCTTATCCAAGGGAGTACCTCTGCCGCGGGCAAGCGCGCGTTCGGAATACGGTATAGGTACAGTAGCAGGGTTTCACTGATAGATGGCAATGTGCGACACCTGTGTGTCGAGAGCGCGAAGAGGTCGCAATGAGCTACAAATAGAAGGGCTTATACTGTCATGGATGCGCACATAATTAACTTGTTGGATAGGGAAGAGAAGAAGAAGCAACTTGGAATTATTTCTGATTTCTGGGATTTTTCAAAGCATTTGCTCGGAAATCCGTCGAAAGATGAGGTCACTGATTTTTCGAGTGAAGGTCATGCCTGTGGCTCGTTACACTGTATTTCATTGTGTTGTCGTCCTGAGCTCAGCCTGATGTTGAAAGTATTTTTATTTGTATCTTCCGCGTCAACGGATGGGTTCCGATTTTATGAAAGTTTGGATTGAATTGTGCAATGTTTCTCTCAACAGTACTCGCTGATTTGTCCGTTATTCACTTCTGAGGATGACGGAGTCCGCGGCTGACGCTGTGTTTAAGAAGTCAGACCAACTTCCGGAATCTTTCGAGCGAGTGAAAGGCTATGACTTTAATAGCGGCGTTGACTACGAAGCCTTGTTGGAAAGCTATCGTTATTCCGGGTTTCAAGCGACGAATTTTGGTCTTGCCGTAGAGGAAATCCGCAAAATGGTGAATATGGTCGATGAAGTTTCTGAGCATTTTTCGAAGGTTTAAAAACTCCCTCGTTTTAGCTTTCGGTCATGTACGTTCTAACGTGATTGACGTTTTAAACTTTGTAGTTGGCGGAGCGCAGAGTGATGACTGAGGATGAATGTAAAAAAGCTGCCTTCCTGGAAGACGATGAATTCATCCGGCGGAAGAGTGGTTGTACTATATTCCTTGGTTACACGTCTAACATGTCTTCTTGTGGTGTTCGTGATGTTATTCGATTCCTGGTTCAGCACAAATTGGTGAGTGTCTCTTGATATTCTCAGATTAATTTGAAGGAAATCGAGATTCCGACCAGGTTGACTGCTTAGTGACTTCTGCTGGCGGTGTTGAGGAAGATCTCATCAAATGTATTGCCCCGACTTTCCTTGGTGACTTTTCTATGGCCGGGAAACAACTGAGAGAGAAAGGAATCAACAGAATCGGTAATCTCCTGGTGCCTAACGATAATTATTGCAAATTCGAGTCGTGGATCACACCTATCTTGGATTCCATGAGAAAGGAACAGCTCGAAGAGGCTCGTACTTCAATTACGTTTGTGAGGAAATACCTGTATATGAGTTGAATTTAACTTTTCAGGGTCGCTCGTGGACCCCGTCAACATTTGTCGAACGCTTGGGCTTAGAAATGAATCACGACGAATCGATCTGCACATGGGCAGCCCGAAATAAGATACCAATTTTCAGTCCTGCTTTAACAGACGGTAGCATTGGGGACATGCTTTACTTTCATTCTCAGAAAAAACCAGGCATGACTATGGATATCATCCGTGGTGAGAGTCTTTTCGGAATGTTAAGTTATACGATTTTCGAATGTTTTTTCTTTCAGATATTTGCAGAATCAATAACATGGCTATTCGTGCGAAGAAAACTGGCATGCTCATTGTCGGAGGTGGGCTAGTGAAGCACCATATCTGCAACGCAAATTTAATGGTATGGTTGATTTCTCCATTTCTATGTATCGAATTTCACCCTTTCTTTCTTCTAGAGGAACGGAGCTGACTTCAGCGTATTCCTGAACACATCTTCGGAATATGATGGCAGTGATAGTGGTGCTCGTCCTGACGAAGCTGTTTCTTGGGGAAAGATCCGAATGTCCGCGACTCCCGTGAAGGTTTTTTATTGTCATATTAGATTTATTTTTTAAGGTTATTTTTGTGTAATAGCATCTTTTATATTCCAGATATATGGAGAAGCAAGTCTTATTTTGCCTCTGCTTGTGGGACAAACGTTTGCGAAGCATTTTCATGCACAAAAAACTGATTAGCTCACACGTGGACAGTTCGTTGGCATCAAGCGAAAAATAAGAATTGGACGTCAATTTTTTGACATTCTCTACGCTTTTTCATCAGTTTTATGAAGTTCTGCCGTTTAAGCGGTACGGCCAACACTTACATCCCCGAAATAACTCTGTGGATGATCCTGGCAAACGAAGCAATAATTCGTTAAATTGCTGTCAATTATTTCCCTGATCGACTTCGCTGATTGAGGTTTTTTCGGTTCGACGAACTTTGAAATAACCTAAGTAAAAAAAAGCTTTTTAACAGCATTTAATTCCTACCATTTTGCAGATTGGTTTTCTCTTTTATACTTACGCGATGAGTTCTCTATGTAAGAGAATATTTTTTTCGCGAATGTGTGGCACAATTTTGCGGAAGTCGACATGCCACGCGTCATCTTCACATGCGTCTGTAAGTAAAGTTATTTGCTTGTTCTAGATTGCGTGCATTTTGCCGGTTTTATTGTTTCCTCAGTCTCTCGCCACTATTGAAGCTCCTAAGATGGTGAAATCAACAGCCGAATGGCCTTTTGTAGATCGTCTTCTTCCATTGTCGATTGTCCCGAAACCTGATTCAAGAACTGCATCTTGTGTTCAAGCTTCAGGGTGGAAATTGCCGAATGGTTCGTTAGTAGTTTTTTTTTGCTTGAAACCCTCTTATCCTAAATGCTTTAATTTTTATCTAGAGGCCAAACTTGATCTTCCTTATTTCGTTGGAAGAACGAGAAATTATATGATTCCCGTTTATCTTTCACTTTTGAACCGCGGGAGGATAAGAAGAACCGTTATTCGTCAAGTACATGGAAATCCTTGGGCAAGTGTTCAGAATGCATCTGGTGATCGTGTCTTCATGACCGACTGAATGCAAATTTTTGGTGTTAACTGGGAATTCGTTCAACTTTCTTCTTTACAGACCTTGGAAAGAGACATAAGAAAGTATTTGGAGGGGAAGCACGGATCTCCTATTGGCTCAACAGTGCACGAACCGCGAATGCAAGTCTTATTGAAAGGCGATTATGTCAACGACGTGAAACGTTGGTTGATAGATCAGGGATTTTGATTTTTGCGATAATAGCCGTGATTGCGTAGCAACTCTGTATGTGTTCTGAATTTCCTGATACAGGGATTTGACTGGCTGATCGATTGAATCTTATGTTCGCTGATTTTTGTGGCACAGAATGTTCAAGTGGGGTGATCAGGCGCGAATCGCACTCACCGCGCGCTCATTATGTTCGCGTAAGTTAGTGCACGCGTCGTGTTTTTTTCAAACTTGTTTTATTCGGGAATGGAGAACGAGAGAGGAGTCCTCACTGTTGGGTGGGACCTGAATCCACAGCATAGAGATGATGGGATCTCCGACTGGTGAGACCATGGAAAATATAACCAGTTCTTAGTGTTCTTTTCACTAGCTCATGAAAGTACTTCGAGAAATGACAAGCAGATGTCGCCATATTCACCATCTGGACAAGGAATTTCCCTAATTTTTATAACCTTGGTTTACCCAATTCAAGTCCTCACGAAGTGCAACAATCGAGCATATATTTATTGGTTTAGAAAATTATGGCCCGGATCGATTGGTACCACACTGAAAAAACTTTTATAATCAAATTTCATAATTGACGAATTTTTGTTTTACCCGAAAAGTTAATTCCCACATTTTTAGTAACTTTCTGTCGTGATGGTGAGGTTTTCCAACAGCGGAAATCCTCGGTTTGCGGTATAGTAAGTTGAGTTACTAAGATTTTATCTTGATTTTGGTACATGGTGATAAATTCAACTAGTCCAACCCAGTCGAACTGCAAGGGACGTGTATAACACTTTGTGAGGGAAATCTCTATTTTTCAATAAAAATGAATACTGTATAAAGATTTAAGAGAAACTAAAATGTATTTTTTTTTCCTTGAACTGCAGAATAAATGAGTTGACAGGATGCTCAACTCAGAGGCAAGGGTTCATTGCCCAATTAATCTTTTACTTCCTTTTAAAGCTCATGAGGTTAAGTTTTTATTGATTTCATCTTCCCTGTGTCCGCAAAATAACCAAAACGCCTCAGAAAATTTGAGTCGTGGAGGGTTGAGGGGAAAGCCTTTGAGTTATGGAGGTTTCATTGCATTGTTTATGAGCAAATGTAAACAGGGACTATAAAAATTTGACGAAGGGATGTATTCGACTTGAAGAGGTTTGATTTATCTAACTTCAAGTGCATAATGACCTTTTTTGCAGACAATGCTCGTGGTCACGGAAGCGGCGTGAACCTGAGTCCAACGAGCGGGGACGGTGCTGGCAGCGGAGGACGTCTAGCGCGTCGGGCCCGTTCCTTCAAAGATGACCTGCTCGAGAGATTGACCCATGTCAAAACCGCATCGTCACCTACCGGTGATCACAATTTTCCCGTCATGTCTGCCAGTGGGTCGATGAAGAAGCCCGCTACTGCAAGCCCTGCTCTCGTCGCCGCCGCCGCTGCTGGAGCTGGCTTCCGGCCGCCGCAACACCAAACGCCGCCGGGCCGTCCAAGGAATTCCAGATCCCGTCACGGATCTACGAGTCGTCGCGATGGACGTTCGACGCCGACGAGTAAGTATTCCATTTTTTTCGAGGAAGACCCGTCCTGAAATATTTTGAAGTTCTGTGTACAAAACAGTACTTCAAATTTAAACCGAGTAAGTGATGAAATAAGGAGGTGACTTGCGCCGCGAAAATGATTTTGTAGGAGTTCAAGAAAAAGTTCTAAGGGAAAAGAAATTGAATTTTTTCGTACATCATTTCTGGCTGATGGTTCTCACGTTCACTGTCTTGAGCTTTATCCGTATCTTTTTCTGCTTGTACAGTATCTTTCTTTGGGAAAAGATATTGTTGCTTGGGAAAAAGGGCGCCGTGTTGATCTCAAGTGGTCGTGATCGATGTCATGGCTACCTAGCGAACTACTTTATATCTGGAAATCAGGCACACAGACTTTTGTTTTAATTCTATTTAAGACCAAAAATACTGCATTATACTTCAATTTTGGTAATCAACACTGTATTTCTATTGACAGTTTAATTTTTTCGAGGGAATCTTTCGCAGAACATTCTCTTGTTCGAATCAAATGATTTACCTTGGTGTGGAGTCTTCAGTGTGGAGGCTATTGCCGAGATCACTTCTTATGGTAACCACAAAAAAATGTCCGTATGCTGCGGTAATGTCGATGGACTTTTTCACTCTGACATGTTTTCGAAGTCAGCCGCGTCGGCTATTTGCGCGGTCGTGACAGATTTTCCCGCTCTATGTGCATTAGAAGAATTTCTATGCCAACTGTGTGCAATTTTCATCTCTGTCCGCGCGGTTCGCCTTTTTCCTTGCCCTGGGTGGGAAAGATGAGGGGAAAGAAAGCTCGGCCGACGTGGAATCGGTGTGAAGCACAGTGAGTAGATTCCACGGAAACTGATTGGATACATCTAGCGTGGAGCATTGTGCATTGAACTGAGGTTGACGCTTGTCGTGTGGCTTATCGGATTTAATTGAACAGATGCGGGAAAATATCGCGTTCTCATGACAGCAAGCAGCGATCTAAAAAGGAAATCTGAGATTGCGAGACAGTTCACTGCAAAATCAAAGGGGGTGTCGCCGTTCGAGCGCTGTATGAAACGTTACGGTTACCCTGCTGGACTGGCTTGATGATTTTTACAATTGTTCACGTTAGTCTTCATTGCTCTGTGCAAATTCGTGTAATGATTAAATTTTGAATATTTTGGTGTGTGTGTCTGACTCCGCTTTTCCAAGTTGCGGCTAATACGTAATGTGAGCCAAACTACAATATTCGCGGTACACTGTGTTGATCGTAAATGTGAAGTCCTACAATTCGTGCTTAAAACGACAATACTGTATTGTGATTTTCTTGTAAAGCGGTTATTGATGAACCAAGTTAGAGTGAAAATTCTTGAAAATAGTGAATAATATGACCAAGCGTAGAGTTTTTTTTTTTCTCAAAATTACAGATAACTGACGAAAATTTTTGAAACAGTACTTCGAAAATGTGTAGAATTTGATTGAATGAACGAAACACACTCGTGCTTTTTTCGCCGGTTGTGTGCACGAATAATGTTCATGATCATAGCGAATCAAGCAATAAATTTGCATTCCCGATGCTTAAATGTTTAATACAGTACTGTATCTTGCACGGAGATACCGAGTAAACTTCATATTTTCCCCTAGTCATGCTTTGTTACCAACTTGAAAAGTTATTCCCATTTCTCTTTGTTACGCTTTCAGTGATTTCCACAAGACAAATTTGATCTTCTTTGCTGTTGTGAACTGGCGAGAGTGTTTCAAATACTTACTCTAATTATTGACAGACGAAATATTTTGAAATTTTATGGAAATTTCGCAAGCGAGTGAGAGGTGGTTATAGTTCACCAGAAGGGACTATAATAGAGTTATCTACTTAATGTTGTTGTTCATGCTAAAGATAAACAAATAAATGTTTGTGGAACGAGAAACCAGCTTTTGTCTTGGCATCCAATTTTGCGCAAAACAGATTCGTTCTGGGAATAATTATCGTTACCCTGATACAATTTTAACCCCCATGTTGCCGTCAAACTCGGGACTATTCGAGTTTTAGCGTTAGGATTTTTTCCACGCTGTGAAGTGATATTTCCATCACCCAAAAAACAAGAGAGAGAGAGGGAAGAAAACATGATGGACGCGGATATCGGGATAGTGAGAAGAGCTTCTACCTCTCGGCGTGTGATGTGCAGAGCAAAGTCCATGTTGCTGCGCGGCCGAGTCGACGAAGAGTATCTTGTGGACGATGACGGCATAGATTTCTTTGTCGAGCGTGGCGAGAAACGCTTCTCTTCGTCCACGTCTAACCGGGTGTCAGTTGTTCGCGCTTGGCCACCGTGGCGAGCCGGAAGCTACGACTTTGGAAGCGTCGACCGTTCACTGAAGCGCAGTGAGTCGCCTCACCGTGACTTCCCATGTGGTTCGTTGACGGGAAACCGGATGAAAACCCCGCATTACGTCCATGTGCCGGGGAAGAAATGGTTTTTTTTTCTAATATGAGAAACTCAATTTCAATTCCAACTTGCGAGTCGAACGAAAGAAAAAGAAATCGTACAATTCCGTGAATTGCTAATTCTCTAGTCGAATGGTGCACTCGAGTCCGCAATGAATTCAATACAAGTGGACTCTATCTACGTACAACGAAATCAAGGGACCGGATTAACCAAGATCGTCGTAGAGAGAGAGAGTCCCACCTATACAATTCTTGACTGAAAAATGTAACACACGAGATTATTATCCGTGTGCGAGAGAAGGCTCTGAAGTTAAATTAAAGTCAAGATAACACTTTCTCATTGAAAATCGGTGATCAGTTTTGGGATATTTGTCCTTGGATGATTTTTCAATTGCTTGAATTATGAGGTTCTTCATATACTTGCTATGATTAGAAGAGCAGCAAAAGTGGGTAGTAAACCTTATTTTCTTTCAGTGATAGCGATTCGTGCGAAAGGAAAAAAAAGAGTCGTTTAATTCACAGAATTCTGTGAATCGTCAAGTCAAATGATTCACTCCGTCAACAACGGATCCAATTACATGTTTTCGACTAAAAATAAATCACTGTGTATGATTGTGTGTGTGAGAGCTGAGAGGGCTCAAAATTTGAAGTTAATCAAGGGTAGCAACACCTTCTCATTTAAATTTAAATTTAAAATTTAAAATTTGTCAGTTTTTGGAGATTTTCAATGAGAGGATTTTTCAATTATTTAAACTGTGTGGTAGCTTCTAAATTTCCCGTGATACAAAAAAACGGAATCTTATTTTCTCACAGTGATAAGCTGCACTTCCAACTCTTCGTCATCTTTTAAACTTTGAGTAAGTGAACATCGGTACAATAATGTGACCTTGAAGAGAAAACATGACTGGAAAACTCAACCTCCATGTTCATTCAGTGATCCAAGACCTCACCACAAGAATTACAAGAATTATACAAATTATGAAACATTTTAGTAACAATCGTATCTTGATTTAACTTCTTTTTTTTTGGAAAACAATACTTTACTGTACCGTACTGTACAGTCATGTCGTTACATAGAAAAGGATAATCATAGAATTAGGTCAAAAGCATTGACGGGTAAAGGGAAGAATAAAAAATGTATGTATGTTTTTTTCTTCTTCAAGCGTGGTGTAAAGGTTTTGCTTACGTTCAGTTCATCTGTTCCACCTGTGAGTCTTATCTGATTATCATGATGTATTTTTCAGAAGATACCTTGCGCAAAACATCACAGAAGATACTCAAGCACTTTCAAGACAGCGTGACGAGTGGCATCGGATCTCTTTCAAGGAATGCGTCAACGTCGGCCAGTAAAGAGGACGTCAAGGCATGGACCATGTCACCGCCGCGTTCTCCGAATCCAGCGGAAATCGGCAACCTTCAGCGAAAGGTGTGTGATTCGAGCTTGAGGAGGAAACTACTGCATGTCGATTGAAATTTTGCTGAAATTGTGGTTTGATTTTTTCAAAATTTTCATAAGAAAAAGACATTTGCTGAGAAAATTAAAACGCGTATACGGTATTTCGCATCATTCTTGAATGCCAATAATCCTGATGCTTCAAAATCTATCAAGTCGTCGTACCAAAGTCCTTTTTAATTGATCTATTTTTACGCCATGAAGAACTGTATGTTACAGTATTTATTTACCTAAATAAGTGGGTAAATAAATCATACCTGTTTTTAGGTATGATTTAGATAGAACCGAAGCTTCCAGTCGGTGATTTGTTCTCCGGTTGATTATTGAAATACCGTATATTAAAACAATTCTTCTATAATTTTTTATGAAATAATCCTCTGTTATTCGTCATATATATATTTTGAAAATTTTTGGTTTTTAAACCGCTGACCTTTCCGGATTACGAATGTCTATGGCACAATCATTCCATTTTCTTATCTTTGGATTATTATTCCGAGAAAGATTCATCCCTTCGAAAATTAGATCATAATGAAAAGATAGGTTTTTCATTCCACCCTTTTTTGTCTTGTTTTTTTTTTTTTTTTTTTTTTTGAGGAGGGTTCAATTTCCTAGCGAATCGTTACGTGTCTTTCATTGAAAGAGGTTATTTGATACATTAAATCGCTGTTCGTGAGAAAATTCAATTTCTTTATTTGATTTATGAACACAATGTTTAATTAATTTTCAATCGAAATACTTTAGCTCAGTCTAATCGGATTTATCTGAAGTAGTGTATTAACTTTTTACCTCCGTGCAAAAGCGAAAATTATTCAAGTGAAAATGATTCTTCTTGAAATGACCTTACCGATCAACAAATCTGCCGATGTGCTGATGTATTTTCAACGGCGTTCGTAGTCTATTTATCGCACTGCCAGAATCTTTCTCCTTCCGTTCCGATTTCTTTTTGCGGTCCTCCTCAAAAATACTTCGCCGACTCCGTGTTGTCGTGTGTTCCCTTTTTCCGGCCCCGACACGTGCTGACGAATGTGTTACTTGAATACAGACACCTTGACGCAGCTGGTGCAGTTCGTAGTCTCTTGAATCGGTGGCGGAGCTAAGAGGCATTCTAATCATGAGGACGGGACTTGAGTTTTTACGTTTCGTTTTGGTGCATGAATCGGATAAATGAGTCGCAGTTATTGTGTCGAAATCTGTTCCTTCGCCGTGTGCAAGTGTATTTTGTGCACGAGATCAACTTTCGTAATGTGAATGCTGCATTTCGTTCATTCTGGAACTTAATTTTTCGTGCTTTTGTCCATCGATTTTGTATTTTTTTAATTCTTAAATTTTTTTGGGATCGTACTCGTGCTGTTCGGAGAGACATAATTTTTCATGGAAGGATTCTGTCGTTTGTCTTGACTCTTTTCCAATTCAATTTTTACGTGACGGGAAAAGGGTTTTGCGATTATGCTATTTTTGGCGGATTTCGGGTTGTGAGTCTATGAAATTTTTAGGAAATTAACTTGCCCACTTTTCGTGGAGATGTACTTCAGTGAACACTGGCAGAAAAACGGAGTTTTCGGAAAATTTTATCGTGACCTGCATTTGTCTATACTTGTATACTTTATCTGGTTTTTTGGCTTCACGCCGATTTCGACTGATATAAAAATTTCGATGAATTTCTGAACGGGTATTGATTAAAAATGTTTGTACAATATTTACATTCGTTTAGATAGACGAACCCATTAGTCAAAGTGTCAGTTTCATAAAATTAAGTTTTGCTCACCAACTTCGTTCCTTTTTCTGCAGTTGCACCGACAATATCCTTCATCCAGCGAATGGAAATACTAGTAAGAAGTGATCCTCAAGATCTTCGTTTCTGTTCGTGTGAAAGTAAAGTATTTTCGACTGTTTTATAAGAAAAACAGGTCGATTCTCTGGGTTTGAAGAGTTACTTTTTTCTTCTTCTTTCAACAATATGAATACTAGCCAGTGGGAGTTGTCCAGCGGCGATGTTTTTCTGCTCTTGGAAGTTGACGCACCACTTGGTAAACGTTAGACTTTGATTTCTTTCATTTCGCGATCTAACAGTTCGTAGGATTTTCACCAATGAACGGAAGGCTGCCTGGGACGTTTGGTCTAGTCGTTCAGGGTGAACTGATCCCAGGTTCCGTGAAATCTCTGCTCGAATTCATTCGAGAGGAGGGGAAGCTTATCGCGATTTTTACATTTTGGTTCCTGGTTCGATCCTGTTTCTCCGGGAACAGCTCTGAGGGAGTCTTTCCTCTTCTGTAAAAAAGCGTTTATTTTCACCATCCTTCGTTCATACCGGCGTCGCGATAAGGACGTGGTTCGGCGGAATCCGTCTGTTCAAATGAATTTTCCGCCCCTTCGACTGGGATGTTGTTGGTTTTCCTTGAGTAGTTCTCGTCTGTCACCATCATCGACGTCGAGTGAATTTCATCCAGATTCGAGTATTTTTTTTCCGCCCCAAGAGATTCTTATGATAACTGACAGGTGTCTTTCTCACATTTTTTTTCGGTTTTTACGCATGCAATCGTGTTGACGAACCTATGATCACGTAGTACTTCTGCGGGAGTCAATGGGTGGATAGAAGTGTGAAAAAGCTATGAAGGAGCATCCGTTAATTTTGCAGCTGAGTGGAGCCCTGCGATATCTCAAAGACGCTGAGGAGAAAGGCGCTTGGGAGCAAGTTCCTGGAGCTGCGTCTGTGGTTTTGGATACCGTGTATCATATCCTCGCCCTCGTGGGAGACAAGTTACCCAATCATCAAAGGTGAGAAAGTCACGCCATAATTTTCGGACCCGCCAAAAGGCGTGAAGATCTTGAAGGAATTATGAAAATTTAATTTCGAAATATGTGTCAAAGGAAGGTGGGACGACGTGGATGAAAGAGGAAAATAAATCCTGGCATCATCAATGTAACTACATTTTTTGAAGCATCTGGAAAAGGGAATAGAAAGTTTGAGAGCTGGGCAGGGGAGAAAATTAGTTACATTCCAAGGAGAGAAATTATTCTTTCTCTAAATTAGAGAGTTAAGACGCTTTTTGACTATGTCAGGAAATGTAATCCTGTCTCTCGATTGCCTGTCGAGTTTTTACTGTGGTACTGTACAATGCATACCCACTTGGATTTTCCGGACGGATAACCTTTTCCTTTTTCGAGATGCCAACAAATTTCTGCGGGATATTGTCCGGATTTTAAAAATGTATCGCGCACTATCCCACATTCCTTTCTCACACAGTCCATACTTATATGCCACAGCAGGTGAATTAGTTTCCAATCATAATTGAGTGGAAGAATTTTCATTATTTCCTCATGCACTTCTGTGGGAATTTTCTAACACAATAAAAGGTTGGTGGATTGCCTATGGGAAAAAAAATTTCCTCATTCGATTGAGTCAAGTTCAGGAATATCACTTGAAATGTATTGATACTGCACTGCTGAGAATTTCGTGAGCCGAGCTGAGAATTTTATGGCCAGAGCTCTAGAAAATTTTAGTAATTCTGTTGGTTCATACTCGAAGATCACGCTTTACGATGATTATCGACTTAGTGGACAATTACATATTGAAAATGTGAGTTACAAAATCGAGGAGAACGAAAGGGGTCTCCCGGAAGTTCCCTGAACTTCGACAGTAACGTTCAGTTTTCCTTGGTGCCTAGTAGGGCGGTCACAGGATTATGGTGGCTCCGGTGTAAACTTGCTGCAGTTGCAACTCACCGCTGTGCAGTATTTAAATTGCCAACTATGCGCTGTCTCAAGTTTCTGCGATTCCACCACAATTTGGCTCTGATGCATTGAAACAAAAAATTGTGGTTTACTTCATTATCGAAGCATGAAAATTGAATACCTGGGCACAAGCATTCATGTTGAAAATGGAAAAGACAAATAAGAATTTTGCTCATTTCTGGAAAGCCATTTTCTAAATCTGGGATGGAATGCGCAAGTACCGTATTTGTGTTTCCAAGAATGCCACCCAGAATATTTTTTCAATAACTTTTCTATGCTGGCGTCTTTTGGAGAATTTTAAAACATTGTGTTAAGTAGAGTACATTATTTGAAAACCTGGTTGTGGTGCAGCAAGGTGAAAAAGCGAGAACTTATCGGTGCAGAAGTTGCAGTTACGGCGGTGTCTAGTTGCATCGCACACGGGTATTTTGACCTTCTGAATTTCTGCGCTTGCAGTGCTGCGATTGCCGTAGCCAGGAACCGGGTGAATGTTACTGTCGGAGAGTTGATAAAATGGTCGGACGACATCTTGCTGGCGCACACGGAATGCGCAGCGGCGGCTTCGTCGATCGTGGCCGAGGTGGACGTGGATTTGTGCGCCGCCGCAGGAGCGCGTATGCCGTCACTGGATTCTCCCGCCGGAGAAGGTTGGGCGTCTTCTGGCCAGTCGTCGCGAACGCCGTCGTTTTCCGCATGTGTTCAACCCTCGCTGGACTCTGGATGCTTGGTTGACGCCTTGCAAGACGCTGTTAAGGTGAGTGAAGCTTTCTCCCCTCGAACTGCGGTTTAACTCCTTTAAGACCGATTTCGGTGTAGCCCGGCTTCTCCTTCAGAATTCTTTAAATTGACGCGGAATTGATTCCAAAGGCTGCCTCCGCCGTTTCCATCAAAAGCCGCCCTTTAGGATGAGAACCTTTCAATTTTTATTCCAAGAAATTTAGTTAGACCCCTCGTGTATCAAAGTGATCAGAAAGTTTTCAACCATAATCCATAAATACTGTTCGGCAGATGATTGGGAAAAGTCTTCGCGGTCATGTATTTTTATTTCGGTGTGAAATTTCAAATGTCTTTTGATGAATTTGCACACTACTGGTTCGTAGAACTGCCGATTTTTGGGGCTTCGATTATCCGTGCCCAATTTTAGATGTAAACGGCGAGGGTACAAGTAGTATACCTTTTGATTTTATAAATTGAGCCGACCGGTTTCCCGAGATCTAATCGCGATTTGCGAAACATGGGTAATTCATCGCGTCAGATTATTCTCGAATATTGTGTTCCACTGCTGGACTGGATGTTTTACATACGATTATCCATCGCATTTGACTTCACGAACTAAGGCACATGCCGAATTTTGAGTGCTGTCGTATGTCCGTGATGTAGGATAAATTATCCTACGTAGGTAGATGTCGCTGGAAGTCACTAAGCTCGTGCGTTTTACCCGCGGACTTGAGAGTTCCATTTGCATTCTGGTTGTTCCTTTGCGTTAATGAGCATTGCAACAGTAGCATGCGAGAGTTTTGTTCGGATTTCCGGTTTAATCCACGTATTACGAAAGCATACCTTTTTTGAAGCGATTATTTTGGAAGATTATCAGCCTTTTTTTTACCACAAAAAAGTATGGGCCGCAAAAATGCTGACCTTCCCTTCCCCCCCTCCCCCCTCCCCTGAACAACTACTTTCGGATGCAATTGATCCAATGAACCTTCGTTACGTCACGTTATATGAGATCGTTCTGTCTAACCGGGTCATTCGGATGCAAACCAGACCCAGTTTAATTTTTATTGCTTTTTCATTCTGCCGAAACAATGCAGAAAATTGTCGCGGCCGTCCTTCAAATGCTGCGCAATCATAGCGGAACAGCCCTGGGCTTTATTGCCGATTCCTCGGGTTCCGACTAATTAATTTCGACAGGGAGAAAACGATAAAATGAGGCGGGTGTCGCAAGTGGCTAGTTGTCCTCAGTGCTGTCGATGGGTTGTTTCTCGAGATAGAAGAGAGACTCATGAATTCAACCGCCGCGAGTTTTCCCCGAGGGGGTGTTGAAACACTCGGGTTGTCTTGTCTGTTTAGTCGGTGGGATGAATGCGTGTCGGTAGCAGCTGATTGATGATCAACGTCAATCCTTTTGATCGGCGGCTCGCTAATCACTATGTGGGATGTTTTGTTCCTAGGAAACACCCTCAGCATTGCAGTTTTATACTTCGCGGGTAGTTTTAGCGAAATGAGCGGACTGATTGCTAAGTTTTTGTTTTCGGTGAAAATATAATCGCTGATGGTCTTGAGTTTTAATTGATGAATGCGAGGGTTGTCCAAGTTGGACGCGGCCTGACATTTTTAGAGTTGTAATTGTGAAAAAAGTACATAAGCCCATGTTCTAAGGTTCGGTTTTTTTAATATTTTAAAAAGTGTTTCAATTTGCTGCATGATAGAAAATTACCAGTTACTGCCGAAGTTCTTCCTCCGTGTCACAGCGGCTATACATCCGTTAGATCAGCTAAAATTTTATATATTTTTTGTTCTACCCATTCTTTTTTCTACATTTAAAAAAATGGTTTAAACAGCATACTGTAATTTTTTTTAGCTAGCCTTACACATTTTTAGCACCCTGTAGCATGGGTGGAGAAATCTGGATGTAACTGGAAAGTTTCATTTATTGTCATGCAGTAAATGTGTAAATCTAAAACCTTTTTCAAAACCCGAAAAATTCCAAACCATACAACATTATGGGCTATGTCATGCTTTTTATCACGTCCACTTTGAAAATATCAAAACTCGCGCACAACTGGGACAAGCCTCTTAGTGTCTGGTCGAAATACGAGGGATGATTCGTGAGTTTTCTTTTCAATATTGCGCTTATGTTTTTGAATTTACAAGAATAGACGGATATGAAATTTATTTTCATGGTCCGATACTCTGATCTTTTCTTCAAAATTTGCTTATATGTTTCTAAACATTCAGAGTACAATACCGAAAGCGTGAAACTTTCCACAGGAACGTCCGTTTATTTTGCAAATGAATAAAACTAAGCAATAAATATAACTCTTCTGATGAGTTAGATCCCATAAATTGGATGAAACGAAGTGTACCTGTCTACTTAGAATGCGTCTTGTGTTTAAACAATTCGTGATCATCGTTTGAAAGCTTATTTTCGTGGCACTTTTGATGCGTAATGTGTTCTTGAAATTGAAATTCTGATGATCCTGCTTTGTTTTATTCTTTTATCGGATCAACGTACGTTCTTGCGGAACATTTCGACGGCGTCTCGGAGTGATTTTTTTGCGCATCTTGAGAAAAATCATGCTTTAAATCAACTCTTGCGAAAATTGAATACGCATATTCTTCGTTGTGTAGGCACATGAGTAATCGTGCTAATATATTGCGGGCAACGCATTGCTGCAACGTAATCAGACCGGGTGTGACCTAACCAAGCCATGCTTCAGTTGTCCACGCATGGGATCATATCTTCGAGAAGAAAAATATATTTGGGTGAACTCGTAGATCGTTCCGGTTTGATTCAGAGAGGATTACGAAATACCTAGAGTTTCAGTGCATAGATAATCCGTTTGTCGTGACGGTGGCCGAGATTTGAGCGTTGCGGACGTGATCAGAGCTACATTAATCCGCATCCCGAAAAAGAAGAAAAAAGCGCGATTATTAGGATCGAGATTGATGAGGACATCGGGGTTCTCCGGAAAGGACGGTGAGCTGGAGTAATTAATTACTGCAACCTGCGTTGTGGCAGGTAGACTAAGTTAGACTTTTTCCCCTTCTCTCTCTCTCTCTCTTTCTTTTTTCTTCGTCCCGCTTTCTTCCCGAGAGAAAGTAAGTTTTGAAATTCTCCCGAGCCGGAAACTTGTCTAATTCCGCGTGGTGGTCATTGCGGCATTTCTCTTGTTGTGCCCTCGAGGACTCGGACGCATTGCCGACAGCGAGCAGGTTGTGATTAGCGGAACGGATCGTAGGAAATAGCTACTGATCGCTCGGGCTCTCTGATGTGATCCGGGGGATTACTAGCGGGTACACTGGGAGAAAGGTACAGTAGTTTTTAAGCAGCAAAAAAGCGCTTCTATGAACTACATTTTGCAGCCGGGCTACGCGTATTCGCGCATGAACCATGAGAAATTACCGCTTCAATGAAAATTTAATTATGTCTGAGGTACAGAACAAGGGAATAAATATTGTCGACAATTCTAAGAAGTGTGATGAATTTTTTTTTACAGTTGAAACTTGACTCGAACCTCTAGTAAGTCAAATACATGGTAATTTCGATTTTTTGAAGTCCCTGACCGAATTTCCTTCGAAAAAAATGCACGAAAAACCTTTTTAAATTGAAGACTTCTCTCCTCATATCTTCGTGACCCGAATTTTCTGGAGGGCCTTTTGGAAGTTACAATACAGTATTTCATTGACACAGGAAAGAGAAAAGCAATACAAATCTCTCGATGTGTTTTGAAAGTGAGCAAATGAGCCCTTGCTTCGAAATTCAACATCTTGTCAACTCACTTCACTTGAAAATCAATTCAGCGGCCAAAATATAGCAAATTACAATGTCCTGTCAATCATCTTTCTTTCCCCCAACAAAATTGCTTGTTTCCCGAAGTCGAATTTTTCCGCTTGTCCCTTGAAGTTTGACTTGTGTAAGGCACATTTTGGAAGCGACTAAGAAGGATGTAATTTATATTAGAAGGATGTAATGTATGTAATTCATGTCAATGTAATTTATACATATCATTCGAATGTGAAATAAGTTTCCGTTTGAGATTCAATTATGCTTTCTCAAGGATTCGTATTTTCAAAACTATAATTCGCAAATCATGCCATTTTTGGAAAAATTCGTGCGTTTTGAACCGTAGTAAGAAGCATTTTCTCCGCGTAACATCCTTGAACTGGACCGCCGAAAGTGGCCGAGAAAAGACGAATTGGAAGAAAATTTTCCCATTGCGGTTGGACCCAAGAATGATTCCGTTGTGCGATCGGTCACGTTTTCTCGTCTTTGGCGACCTTTGATTTCGGTCGAAGGAACTTCGTGTTCTTGGGTAATCTGGATGATTTGCGTTTGCCCTTTCGTCTTTTGCGATTGTTCTGGGGTCGATTCGTGAGACGTGTCTGGGGTTCATATCCATACGCTGACGAAGATTTTCATTCATGTGAGTGTATGGTATGACTATCGTGCATATCGAAATACAGTAGAACCAATTGCGCAATCGGGATACAAATAACCTGTGACCTTCTCAAGGTGATGATGCATTTTTCTTCAAATGCAATAATTGAATTACCGAGGCAATTGAGTTTTTTAAAGATCCACTGTACTATCGAATCCAGTTCCGATGATGATGTAGAATGTTTAAAAAACCAAGCGTTGGCCATCTCGCCCCTAGATTACTGACGACCCTTTTAATCGAGATTTTAATTCGTAAAAACTACTCAAAGAACGTGTAGCTGGGGAAAATGACAAGATTAAATGCTGCTGATACCTGCTGAATTTTTATTTCTCTGTTAACCGTCCCAGTTTGGCTATGATTGCCGAAGAACGATATTTACGTGAGTACCACTCGCCTTCGACTAATGCGTATACTGTACTTCAATTTTTTAGTGGTGAATTTGCCCAAGTGTTTATCCCCGCATAAAACGTGCAATCCAGTTGTTCTCTTTCTGAAATTCGAACTTCTCGCTAATTATTATGTTCGAGTAAATAATCCCAGAAATAAGTAAAATAATCTGAAGCATTTTAACGGGATTGGTGCCTAACAAAAT